CTAAAGTAGATACTGGGTGAAGGGTAGAGGTGGATCACTTTCTCTCTGGCTCCAAACTGTGGGATGTTCTGTCATTCCAGAGAAGTCTTGAATGAGAAATGCAGAACAATGAAGAGAGACTTTCCCTTTAAGGAAAAATGTTTTGTGGAAGTTCAGCTAAAACCTGTAATAGGTACCCCGTGTGCGTGTGCTCACTCAGTTGTGTCCGACTCTTTGCGACCTCGTGGACTGTAGCCCTCGGGGCTCCCCTGTCAGGCAAGAACACATTCCCTTCTCCAGGGCATCTTCCTGATCTAGGCATCAAAGGGACATCTATTGGGTTGCCTGCATAGGCAGGAGGATTCTTTACCACTAGCGCCCCCTGGGAAGCCCAATGTGCTCTTAAGGGCTCAGTTAACTCATGCAGCAAGCTTTGAGGTCAATTTTGAGAACTTCAAAATCCTTTGAAGTTTGACATGAGCCTTTGTGCAAGAAAAGGCGTTCTTTAAATGCTAGGCGTTTACTCTGGCACCTATGTGATAAATCCACAGGTCAGTGACGAGCTGCAGACCAGTTCAAGGATGGAAGAAATGGCGATGTAGCAGTTCAGAAGATTTGGAGATCACTGGGCAAAGAAGAAAACATTTTGTATTTGTATGTTAGATTCTCTGTTTTTGCTTTCCTTTTACACTTGATAAGATCACAGAGTTGGCCTAGTATGCCTCTGTGTAAAACTCTCAAAGGTTTTGGATGCTTTAAAGGAAAGGAATGCATTTTAGAAACAACTTTGAAGTCAGTTTCTCTAATTCTTACAGTCTAATGTTGCTATTCCATTTATACAGTTCCTCTTATGCAGCTGATTATAAAAGGAGTAGGAAGAATGCAATTAATTTTCATACCAGTAAAAGAAGCAAAAAACTGACAGTTGTCTTTCATACAAAAAAAAAAATTGAATTTACTAAGCATTTGCAAGGTACCAGTGTTTTATGCTTCATTTAATTATTACAGCAAGCTCTTAAGGCATTATTATTCACATTTTAGAGACTAGAAAATTGAGGCTCAGAGATATTTATTAACTTATCCAGACTATCTGGCAGGGCCAAGAAGACTCAAAGTCTGTTTGATTCTAAAGTCCATATTCTTAGTATCCATATATATAAATGCTGATATTCTTTAAGTCCATATAGGACTGCAATTTGTATTAACACAGTAGAAGGAAGTTTAAAATACTTTCTCATCTTTAATATCTTTAATCTCTATCTTCAAAATCTTTTCACTTTATTCTATATTGCAGCTTACCCTGTTAGTAAACTATCCACCATTAGAGATTACAAAACCTATTTTTCAACAAGGGACATGACACTGAATGTCATGACTATTCATGTGCTGGTGCTAGTGCTTTCAAACAAATTTGTTTTGTGGTGCCCTCTCTATTGCATTTTTGAGTAGGCTGTAAATCTTTTTAAAACCAATAAAAATATAATTTCAGAATGTTTTAAGAGCAATCTCTCATGTCACTCAAGTGATTTCTGTTTCTGCTTTCTTCTACATATAATGCAAAGAGGATTCTGATGAAAATAATTTTATATTTAAGTATAATATTTTTTTCTAATTACAAAAAGTAATATATGATGACTTAACTGAATTTAGAATATATATAAAGGTATAAGGGCTTCCCAGATGGAGCTAGTGGTAAAGAATCCATCTGCCAGTGCAGTAGACATGTGTTCAATCCTTGGGTCAGGAAGATCTCCTGGAGTAGGAAATGTCAACACGCTCCAGTATTCTTGCCTGGAAAATTCCCTGGACAGGGGAGCCTGGTGGGCTACAGTCCATGGGGTCACAAAGAGTGGACACAACTGAGTGACTTAGCACACACACACATAAAGGTATAAAGGAAAAAATATCCAGAATTCCACAGGTAAAACTTGATAAGCATCTAACGTTCTTCCTTTAAATGTATATGAGAACAAAATGCAAATTGTGGATTATTTGGAAGGTGGTTGAAGAATTTAAAATAATTTAAAATTATATACGTACATTTTAAATATACATACATCTACTTTGTGTACGTATATATTCATCTAAGATATCCACTGAAATTTTCAAATACTTTCTCATATAGTCTCTATATGGTGACTACAAGGTGGCATGATTTTAAGCAAAAATTTGGCCAGTTTGTCTAGATGAGAATTGAAAACACATTAATGTGATTTTTACACAGTAGAAAATTTGAATTTTTGCATGTTTTAATTTTATTTTTTCCTGTTTACAAAGATAATATATATGTAAATGTATAGTATAATGTGTAGTATATAATATATATAGTATGTAATATGTAGTAAATACAAATCAAATGACACCTAAAGAGATGAAAAATAGCTAGTATTTGTTGAGTGCTTTCTATATGCCAGGCACTACTCTAAGGATTTTGTTTATATTAACTCATTTAATCCTCATAATCATGCTATAAAGTAGGGACTATTATTTACTGCTTTTATTTTATAAATGAGAATCTTGGGCATCAAGAGATTAAGTAATTTGCTTGAAGTCTTGGTTTACCAGGAAAACAATCACGGCAAACTGCATGGTTTAAATTTGTTCATTGAGTTTTCTCATGAGAAAACAAAGCTGATGAATTAGAGCCTTGCCATGCATATATTATAGCTTTGTTTTAGGAAAGAAAATGATCGAGTTTCACATGATGCTCTTTAGATGTAGAAGGTATAGAGACGGTGGATGCGCACCTAGGAGAATCTGTATCTGAACCTCGGGACTCAGAGGAAAGGCAATGGGTCACTAGGACGTGCAGCCGCTAAACAACAGAGCTGAGAGTCAAACCCAGGCAGGATATTCCCAGAGTCCACACTGAACCATTCCCTAAATTGCCTCTACAAAGTATAAAGAAGAAAGCTATTAAGAAGAAAGCCAGGATTAATGAACTCATTGAACAAATAATTGGATCAATCTGGAGTCCCTCTCTCCTCCCCAGAGATTGGGGCTGATGGCACCCAGCTCAAAGCCCCAGCCCTCTAATTATATGATTGGTTTTTCTGGCATGACAAATTCCTGTCCCAAGTCATTACATTAGCAAAAAACTCAGGTATAGTCCAAAATATCCACTATGAATATCAAAGACACTTCTATGCCTTGGGAAATTCCCAAGGATTTAGAGTTTACCTCCTAGAAACCAGAAAGAAAAATGTCAGCCAAAATCCTTTATTATATAATACCAACCCTCTTAGCATATCACTGCAGGCTGTCAAACTACTTAGCTGCAGCATGGAATCAGCTCCTCAGCAATAGGGTGTCTCATGGCTCATGGCTCAGCCCCTTTTGTTTCTGTGCTGTCCTGGGGGACAAGGGACATGAGGTGCTGACAGCTTTGCAGTGACAATGAGTGACATCAGAGGAGAGGAAGAGTTTTCTGAAGGAGACAGAGAAGCTAATGGTGGAGGATGACTTTGGTGTGAGCTCAGACATGAGTAGTCATAAAATCTTTGAACAAAAAATTACGAGTCTGACATCCAAACTCCTACCTGATATTTAATACAAGCATCATCCCAACAATTCATCAAATAGCCAGGCTATGCTGAAACAGACATGGTGAGGAAGAATAAGCCAATTATTCTTGGGGCAACCAATTTTATTGATATAAATCTGATTGTTTTTAAACTATTTCTCATAGTGAGCCAACATTTACCTTTTAATAAATCTTAACATTGATTTTCTTACTACCTCATGGAACACAGTTTTGGCTAGGCTGCGTAGCATGTGGGATCCTCGTTCCACGATCAGGGATGGAACCCATACCCCTTAAGTGGAAGACCATAGTCTTAACTACTGGACAGCCAAGGAATTCCTTCCTATGGAACACATATTCACACAGCCATCACCTATTGTTTGGGACAGACATGCTATGAAGTCAGCCATCATGTGTCTCCTTGGTTTTGTCTTTAGAAAATTAAACATCTGCCTTCACCTACACCTCACGTGGCCTTGTCTTAGTTCTCACCACTTTTAATATCTTGGTATCCTATCAGCATCTTTCCTAAAATAGAATATCCAGATATTGTTGCGTCAATGAAGAGGATAATGAAATCACTATTGCCAATAAAATATTTCAATTTCTCTTCTTTCTATAAACATGTTTTTGAACTTAGTCTTTTTCAAAAAAGGATATGAAGAAAATAGGAAAATAGAATGTATATTAATATCTTATTCTGTCCTCCTGTTATGTTTTAACATATTTGTGTGTTTTAAATAATACTTTAAAATAATTTTTTCCTGTTTTATATTATGAAAATAATATGTATTAGTGGTAAAAATTCAAACAATGCAAAGAGTAACAGGGAAACAATTTTCTTAATGCCCCTTACTCTCAAACTTTTAATCCCACTTCTTAAAGCACAGTTTAGTTTACTGTATTCATCCAGAATTTTCTTATATTGGGCATCTCTCCTAACCAACATTCTGGATCTAGCTTGTTCTTTTTAATAGCTACATAGTATTTTATTACATGGTTATACCATCTTTTATTTACCAGTCCCCTTTGATGGACATATATGTTGTTTCCTCTCCTTTTTTAAATTTATAGCAATACAATAAATTTTGTGTTTCTTTGAACACATGAGAAAGCACCTCTGTAGGATAATTTCTTTGAAGTAGACCTGCTATGTCAAAATTTGTGTCTTCAAGGGTACACCAATTTCCACTCCTGCTGATAATGTGTGGTGGTACAGTAGACTCCTGAACAACACGGGTTTGAGACGCACAGTCCACTTACACACAGGCTTTTATAGTACTATGTGATTGGTGGTTGGCTGAGTGGGAGGGGCGGGGGTGGTGACGTTAAAGTTATTTTCAGATTTTCCACTGGGTGGAGGTCTGGTGCCCATAACCTTCTCATTGCTCAAAGGTCAACTGTACTTGTTTTTCCGTATGCCAAACTTTAATTGTTAATCTAAAAGCTGACAAATGGAATATGATTTGGGCTGGATACCTTCTGTTTGCCCCTCCAGATGCACCTTGCACTCTTCTCCCAGCTCTCTGCTGTAGACAGATACTGTACAGACTACATCACTGGATTCCTGCACTCTCTTGCTTCCTCTGTGTCAGATTTAGAAACAGGGGCGCCAGTTGAAGATGGGGTACAGATGGGGAAGAGGTATTATTGATGAGGTTAACATATTTATTTCCTGGGCTCTCTCCTGTGGGGTCTCTGCAGACTGGCTGTGACCCTAAGGTCAAGGACACAGCTTCTGTCCACACAAATTTCTCTGTCTCTATTTTCTTGTCCTTTCAAGCATAGAAGGCTGGTCTGCCCTGGTTTTCCTATATCTTGCTCTACCTTTGTAAGTAATAACTTTATTAAGCATGCCTTGAAGCATCTCATTTGAATGTTCTGTTTCCTGCCAGCTCTTGTTCCTGAAAGCCTGACCTAGAGAGATTCCCCAGGATGTTTAGGAGGTATCTCGAAGAGAGGCAATTTGAACATAGACCTGAATGATGACGAGGAGTATAAAGATCTTAGGCTTATGTGCTCCAGGTGGAAAAGGTCCTGTTTTTTGAACAAGCTTGTCATAGTTGAAGAGCAGCAGGAACACCAGGGTGGCTTTGGGCCATCAGGCAAGTATATGGTTCGTTTGTCTGAGAGCCATTACCTCTTCTTCCTTTCTGAGAGAGCTCTAATTTTGTTCAGACATGATGGGAAGATTCAAGGGATGAACCACCATTTGTCTAAGTGAATCATGAAAATTCTGTCCCAAAGTGTCTGATTGATTTAGGAATGGGCATGTAACCCAGTTCTGGCAGATGAGACATGAGAGGGAATTTTCTAGGGTCCTCTTGAAAATTTTCCTCCCTGATAGAAAAGCAGACATAAAGGAGAAAATTCCTACCTCCTTTTCCCCTTTTCTGCTTTGGATGCTTTTTGTGAGAATATGATGCCTGGAAATGCATAGTCTTTTGACAGCCATGAGACAAAGGGCCAGGATCAAAAGCAACATATGCAGGTAGGAGAGCGAAACGTTGGAAAGAACCTGGGCCCTAGTGACATATTGGACCTTCCAAGCCAACTGTAGGGTCACCTCCCTTCGGACTCCCTGTTAAGTAAATAAACAAGTAAAAATCAATCTTAGCTTGAGTCACCATTAGGTGGAGTTTCTGTTCCTTGCAGTTGACACATCAACTCACAGAGTAGCAAGGGAGAGGTGAGGAAAGGTAAGCAATTTAAGAGAGGTGGGCAGGGACCCATCAGTGTCTCTCAGGTCAAGGCATGGGATTTGGATTTTATTCCAAAGGCAAGAGATTTCCGCCGATGACTCAGTGCATACAGGAATATAATAAAGATTTATCTAGCTATCTATCCATATCATTATACATATTTATCATGTATATGATAAGAATATTATTTAGTATTAAAATAATAGGTATTGACTACAAAAATATATTTACCATTTCCATTTTAATTTTTACAGAGATTACTATTTAGAACCGGATAAAAAGAAAGAAAAAGTCTCACGAGTAACTTATGAACTATCTTGACTGAAATTCCCAAATGTTGAGAACCTACTAATGTCTGATCTTTTATGCTTGGAAGAACTTTCAACACAGTTTCTAGGTATTGCTTCTGTCTGCTTTAGCCACATCAGGGTCTTTACCAATTATGTTCTTCTTCAGAGAGTTTGCAACTGCCACCTCAAACCCTTACCTCTCTTTGAAAGCGCCCCCAGTTTTTCCCTTTGTCTTGTGTCTTTGAAAAGAAGGCAACTTCATTTAAGCATGGCTGTCCTAAATACCATGGATGGTGTTTTTCTCCTAGTTGGCACCAAAAACATCACAGAAGAAGGTAGATCACTGAAAACATTTTCCTCATGTTTGTCGTGTTCCTCCATTCAGCAGAAAGATTATTGGTTACCATGGCAATAGCTCCCACAGCATTCCATTCTAAGGATCCACACAGGTAAAGCGCAAGTTTTACTCTGCGTTCCTTCTTTACCCTGGCTCTCCGCAGATCTGCGTATTTTTGCAGCTTGTCCTCTGTGACTGCTGTTTAGAGCAATCAATCAGCTGGCCAAACAAAAAACCTAGAGTTAAGCCAGATAATTTTTTCAAAGGCACCATATCCCTTTCTCTTCTGAGTATTTTGAAAATTTACATAAACTGTTGAACAATGATTTTTCTAACAGCACCACTGAAAAACTTTCTGGTATGTTCTTTCACCTGTCTGGTATTTCAGTTGTACCTCTTTAACCATGTTTAGAAAATAACGAATTAAAAAAAAAAAAGAAAAGAATGAATTTACAGTAAAAATAGAACAGGAGATAGTTCTATGAGATCATTTCCCATGGGCTTAATATCATGTCTTTCCTAAGGATAATGCTCTGACTTTCCTTCCTTCACTACTCCCAAACCCTCTTATAAAATAGTGCTGATGCTCAGAAGAGTAAAAACTGTCCTCAAGCCATTGCCTTGGAGATACCAAACACTTAGATCTTCCCCCCTTAAGACTGTTAACTGCCTTGTTCTATTCAGAACCTTATTGATAATAGTAAAAGGTGGTTTTAAACAGTTCAAACAAATTACTGGCACACAGCACCTGTTATGTTACAGAGGTGATGGAATAACTTTAGAGCATCAATTGGATAAATTCTATTTCCCTACAACTATAACAAATTCTTTTCGTATTATTACTTTTAGTCTTTGCTGATTACTTAGTTTCTTCATAACCATGTGGCATAAATGAGGAATCTAGAGATTTCTATAGTATGTAGAGATACCTTTTAATCTGTATTTCTACCTATAACTTTGAAACAATAGTGGTATTTTGGTAACGAAAAAGAGAGAACATGAAGGGGAGTTGCTATTATCTGATGTTAAGCAATTAAAAATAAAATTTGGTTTCAACCCTCTTTCAGGGAAGGATTTTGTATCTCTTAGATGTCTTTTCATTGAGAAAGACATATCTCCCGACCTATCTATGAACATCCCATTGAATAGCACCATCTCCTATTAAGGGCATGGAAGTAAACTCTGTAACTAAAACAGATGCCTCCACCCACAGCTTCTAAAATCAGTGGGTATTCATAAACCTCACCACAAATTTTCAGAGCATAGTGGGAAAAGGGAACTGTTAAAAATTTGAAACTCTATTAAAGTACTTTCTGACTCTTCCGGTAAAAGAAAATATATTACTTTCTAGGAAGTTCACTACGTTAAAAAACAAAGCAATCAGGATTGGAAATCCATGGCTAGCATTTTGGGTTACATCACTCAGATTTAGGAGAGAAGACATTTACTTTTAGATAGAACGCCATATAGAATGGGTCTCAGATTTCTCTCCAAATTGTATTGGAATTGTTTCAAGGGATAAGAAAGACATCATTATTTTCTAAGCCATTTTCTGTCTAAACTAAGTCACTTTTCTCTTTTGTGCTCTTGCCATCTATGTTAAAGCTTTCACTTCACCATTTTCAAACACTTCATTCCACTCTTTTATCATGACTTTATGATACCATGAAGCATACCTTCAAGCATACCGTGATAAAATGTTACAAAGGTTTATTTATTCCTTTACATGAGGGCTTCCCAGTGGGCACAATGCTAAAGAATCTGCCTGCCAAAGCAGGAGATGTAAGAGATGTGGGATCGATCCCTGGGTTGGGAAGATCCCCTGGAGTAGGAAATGGCAACCCACTCCAGTATTCTTGCCTGGAGAATTCCATGGACAGAGGAACCTGGTGGATTACCATCCATGAGGTCCCGAAGAGTCAGACGACTCAGTTACCCAGGACCACTGGGTGCATGAACACATATAGTGCCTTATATGCTAATCCCACATAAACCAGGAAGAAAAAGTGACCCACTATTGTAGAATTTTCCAGATTAAGTACAGAGGTTAAAATAATCACACAAACTTTGGGAGTAATTATATTACACTGCACCGTGAGATTTATATAGAAAAACAGTCGCTCTCAATTTTCAGTTGACAAAAGAGCAGTTGAGAAGAGACTCTGTAGCTCTGAAAAGCAGAAACGCTAATGAAGGGTCAGCATTGTATGAACATGAGGCAGCTAACATGCTGTTTTGACAGCTGAGTAAAGATGAGGGGAATAAAGATTGTAAATCAGAGGAAGTCATGATAAAAGGATGGAGTGAAGTATTTGAAAATGGTAAAGGGAGAGCTTTAATTAATATGCCTGGGAAGAGCACAAAAGACAAAAGTGATTTAGTTTAGATGGGAAATGGCTTGTAGAGAAAGTTAAGGAGAATAATAATCTGCATGTTAATTTGCAAGGGCCAAGAGATGATATTATTTGAAGAATGATAGTTTTATTGTTTTAATATTTTATACACTTAAATTCCATTTATCTGAAACATAAATTAGTACAAGTTTCTATTACTCTTAATGTGTATATTAGACAAACTGGCAAGCAGGGGTTTACTTTAGATCAACCTTTGTTATAACCTTAATTAAAACTACTTTCACTATTTCAACTTATAAGCAAGATTATGAATTTATAATGTGAAGATAACAGAAAGCCTGATTTAGTTACAACTTGGTCCTAATTCTTTTGGCTAGTATCCTTCAGTTCTGGGTTCCTAACATGATCAAGAAAATGCACATACAGAAAGAAGTAAAACCCACTGTTCCTTAATTAGAAATCATGTGAATAGCTTAATATTAAAAACATTAAAAAAATACACATGGTACAAATACTATAGTGTTTTAGCTTCTTTTATTTAAACTGCATTGATATCCATTTACAGCTCTCCTAACAACCACAATCCTCTGTCCTGGATTTTCCAGGTCACTTCAGATTCCAAATATTATATCTATTGTTAAACGATGTGTTTGGATTTGGGTTTGGAAAATATGGTCACTGAACTTATAGACTAACTCTGAAATAGCAATAGCCTTTGGCATTATGTAGTGATTCTATTTCTGGGCCATGATTATCATGTTAAATCAGATCAAATCAATGTTCATTATTTAAGTCGACCTAACAATAAACTATGAAATAATGGGGACATTTAAAAACCTCTGTAGTCATTTGCAATTTGAAGAGAGTTCATAGTATGATCTATTATAGACACAAACACACATACAGCCAGTAAACCTATAGACACAAGGCTCCTCATCCTTGCCACCTGCTGTGTGCTAAGTCACTCAGTCGTGTCTGACTCTCTGTAACCCCATGGACTGTAGCCCGCCAGGCTCCTCCGTCCACGGGATTCTCCAGGCAAGAATACTGGAGTGGGTTGCCATTTCCTACTCCAGGGGATCTTCCCAACCCAGGGATCGAATGGGGTTATGCCTAACCTGCATTGGCTGGCGGGTTCTTTACCACCTGGGAAGTCCATTGCCATATAGGAAATGAAAGCAAGAGATAACGAGATATTGTGTTTTATGTTACAGGGTCAAAACTAAGGAAGACAAAAACAGTCTAAATGTACTTGTGCGAATACTTAAATAAAAAGCGCTTGGTGATATTTTTAATTTCCATAGGGTTAAACTCATAGTCTTGATAAATCAGAACTGAAAAGGTACACTGGGATGTGCTACGTATAAGACGATAATTACAAGGGAATGAAGTCAAGACTGACTCACTATCCTATGCCAAACACTGCTCCTCCTCAATGAAAACGTTTACATCATTTGATGCCCCCTACATTCCTAGCCTTCTTATCACTGTAATACTGTTTATGAGACCAATCTTTATTCTTTCGTGATTTGGGGTACCCACTAAGAAAGAAAGGAGAAAATTTTAAAGACTCCTGGTGGCTCAGATGGTAAAGCGTCTGTCTACAATGCAGGAGACCTGGGTTCGATCCCTGGGTCGGGAAGATTCCTTAGAGAAGGAAATGGCAACCCACTCCAGCACTCTTGCCTAGAAAATCCCATGGGCGGAGGAGTCTGGTGCAGGCAACTGTCCGTGGGGCCGCAGAGTCGTACACGGCTGAGCGACTTCAAGTCCAGAATGGCATTTGGTAACTCTCTTGAAAATTAAGGTTATTTTCCCCAAGTCTTGCTGGAAACACATCTACCACTGTGCTGAGTCTCTCCTCCCACATTTCCGCGCTGGTGGGGACTTGAGAAGCCCGGGAAGGCTGCTGCAACAGGGGTGGGAGTGGGAGATAGGATATCACCCGCTTGACACTTCGGCACTGTTGCTATGAATGATTCACTCGTGTTTGGCACATTTGTGGCAAGGAAATCTCCTCCTCCCGCCGCTCCTCTCGGCAGTCTCCTGCGCCTTGGCCTTTAAGGAGAAGCGAGAGCAGGTGGGCACAGAGGAGCTCGCCGAGTCTTCCTCCCCCTGCTCCGTCCCTAATTTAGCAGTACTTCCGGCCGCGTGACATCATCCCCCGCACCCCGGTGACGTGAGCGGCGGGTGACGTGGGTGCGCAGAGGAGCGCGCTGACGTCGCTATTTAAAGGTCCTCCTGCGGGGAGGATGGAGACACAGCGCGAGCACCTGGCGTGGGGCGCGGAGGAGGCGGTGGAGGCCCGGAGCGGGGCCGGGAGCCAGCAGAGGAGCGGAGCGCGCGGCCTGCCCGCCGCCGGCCCCTAGGGGAGGGGGAAAGGAGGGAAGGACGGACCGCCGGGCCTGCGAGCCGGCCTGGCTCCCCACGAGGGCCGGCTCGGTCCCCGACTACCGGCGTCCCCGGCGCCCTCGCGGCCGCCACCTCCTCTCGCTCCCTGCAGGGCCCCACCGGCTCCCCGGGACCCGTCCGCGCCCCAGCTCCTGGCCGTTCCCCGGCGACCGCCGCTTCCCGCCCCCTCCCGCGAGCAGGGGGGAGGGGCCGCGCTGCTCCCTGTTCTCCCCGCCCCTCCCCGCCCCCCCGCAGCCCGCTCCGCTGCCGCGCTCGCCTCTCGCTGGCGGCGCTGACCCGGGAAGCGGCGGCTAGAGGCGGAGGCGGCGGCGGGCTGCGGGCCGCCGGGCCAGCGCTTGCTCCGCCGAGCGGGAGCTGGAGTCCGGCGGAGGCGGGCGGTGATGGGAGTGTGAGGAGGCAGCGGCGGGGCCCAGGCACTGTGAGGCGGCGCGTGGCAGCGGCGCGGAGCGGGAGCGGAGAGGAGCAGGGGTGGGGCGCTGGAGCCGCGGCTCTTCCGCGGCGTCGAGCCCCGGTCCCCCGACCCCGGCGCGGGACCAGCCTCCCGCCTCGGCTCGGGCGGGCGCCCGTCGACCCGTCAGCCCCGTGCTCCGCGGCTGCTCGGCCCGCCCGCGAGCTGGGGGACAGGCTGCCGGGGGCAGCGTGGGGCTTGGCGTCTCTGATTCATTCATTCGCCGCCGCCGTAGCTCGGACCTGCAGCGCCCCGAGGAACGGAGGGACAAGGGGCAGCCGCGAATGAGGGGCCGTGTGGGAGCCAGGCTCCATTGTGCTCGGCAGCGGGGGGCGGGCAGGGGCTGAGGCGGGTGGGATCGGGCCCCCTCCCGCTGCTCCCCGGGTGCGCTGCGCCCCCAGCCTGCTGCCAGCCTGGAAATGGCTCCGTGTGTTCTCCTCGGGAGAGTGAATCGATCCTGCCCAGCCTTCTCTTCCTCCTCCCCGCCTCCTCTCTGCTCCCAGTCTTAGGAAGGGGAAAAAAATTAAAGACAGATTCCAATGTGGAGTGCCGAGCGCGTCGCGAGCTGCCGGGCTTGCACGTCGAAGAGGTTTTTCTACATAGCTTTTTTCTAATGTCAGCGCAGGGAAGCAGTGGCATTGCTGCTTTTAGGATTATTTTCTCGTAGGGATCTTTCAAGTGCACGTCGCATTGGGTTGCACGCTCCACCCCCAGGAACCTGGTGTGGTGGAGAAATTTGAACCCGCAGCCTTAGTAACACCGAAAAGGCCGAGTTACCTGGGCTCTCCCTGAGTGTGGAGGAGGACATGAGCGAAATGACCACCAAGCTCATGTTTTACAGGACTCCGTGAAGCTGGATTCTGCGTTTTCCGACACGTAGATTCGTTTTGTGGAATAAAGTTGACCGCCGTTTCCTCCGCGCAGCATTTTATCTCTAATAAGCAAATGCCACCTCTCTTCGAACGTTTTGGTATTTCCCAGAGAGAAATAATTTTACCTAAGGGAACTAACTGAATTTTCAGCTACATTGAAATACCTCCAGAAAAGGATCTCGGGGGTGGAAAAGCAACTGCGAAACAACAGACGGAGAAATTCATTTGGAAGTTATTCCGTAGCATAAGAGCAGGAACTTACAAGCAAGTTTTCATTGGGCAAAATGGGGTAAGGATTTTTGTGCTTAACCCTCTTGGAGTCTGTTTATGTTTGTGTGTGATTGAGCGGTGGTGGCGAATTGTCTTTGTTTTAGGTTTTCAAACAAATTTGCCACCTTGCTAAGCTAGTTGTAGTTTAAAAATATAGGTGTGTTAGCCTTTTACGAAGGTGTTTTTGTAGAGTGACACCAGAGGCCGTAATTAAGGAACATACGTCTATTATTGTAACCAGAACATAGTTTTACTACTCATATTTAAGAAGACCACACGTTCTGCGCTTTCCTGGTCGAAGTGCTGCAGCAGTTTGTAATCAAAGTCGTGTTGTCTTAGGTTTTGTTGCCGGTATCCTTAAAGAGAAGCCCTGCATTCTCTCAGTACTTTGAGAATAATCAGGTGCACAAAGGACGATTATAAAGTAGTGGGTAGGTTAGACTCCAGTCCTTGAAAAGGATCCAGTGTAAATTGTTGTTCTCACCGTGCCCTCTGTTTTGCCCTTGAGTAGCCAAAGGAAAAGTCTATAGAATTGACTTACTGGGGGCATTAAAACGAAAATCTGGAAGTCTTAGAAGGACTCCACAGTGCCCTACACTTAGTTGGACATCAGAGCCTGAATAGGAAACAGCTTTTTGTTGAAAGAACTTGTTCACTTTCTCTGTGTTTTGGCTTTTGGGATCAGCTCTTCAGTTTGTGTTAACAGGGTCAGGTCTACACCTTCTTTCAGATCCAAAGTCAAACAGTGCATTTTTCAACCTTTTATTAACTCTTTACACAATAACTTGATAAAATGCTTGTGATTTTTCCTAATTTAAGCCTGATATCTGTAATATATTAAAGGAGTAATGATCTGGCTAGTTTCATTGACAGATTTTTTTTCAACGCTTTTTGTCAAAGAGGAACTTCCAGAATTTTCTTTCTTTCTCTCTCTCTTTTTTTTAATGGTTGAATAAAGACATCTGAAGTGTAGTTAAAGGACAGAGATTGAAAAGATAGACATGGAAATACACTGACAGTTTAGGGGCGTGCATATCTAAACTTTCGTTCTTAAAATGTCCAGAGGAAAGTTCCTAATAGTACTGCCCTTTTTGTTGGAGTTAAAGCTTGAAGTTTATTAACTTGAATAAGTTTGAAAATGTTAAGAATGTGTGTGGTAGGAATCTTTCATCAGGAACTGATGAGAAAGAGCAATACTTGTTTGTAAAACTTAAATGACAAAGTGATGAGAATATATTTAACTTCCATGATTTGGGATACTAAGAGCAATTAAAATACCTCATTCTATTTCTAGTGCTGCTATTAGTAGCTTGGTGATCTGAGGCAGATTGCTTGACCTTTGTAGACTCTTGTTTTTTTATCTGTAAAATGAAAGTGTTAGGTGAGTTTTTTTTTTTCCCCAGTTTGTAAAAATGAATTATTTCTTTCTCCTCCTTCTATTCTTGTAATTGCTGGTTGGTTTCTTGAAGCAAATCTCTCAATTAGAGAGATTGCTTTCTCTAAGCAGTTGTTAAGCATGTAAGCTGGAAAATAATGGCATTTGAAAAATGTTTTGGATGAATTGTACCAATTTTAATAAGAGAAAATACTGAAAAATGCTACTGTTCAGAATCTTTGAAATATGGCTTCCCTTGAGAGTCTGCAGCCCTTCTGTTTAAAACGTGTCAGAGAAGAAAAATCAAGTGGCAGTTTTTCATGCTGAAGGCTGAGTTCTCTGTAGGCTGTGGAGTGGTAGCATCGTGAAAGAAAATCAGTTTTCCACAACCTTTAAGCTGCATGAGTGTCCATGGTTTTACTAAGGGAAGCTCGGTAGGAACTTAGTACAAAGAACACTGGTTTTTAAAGCATGAAAATAAGTCCCACACATTTAACATACTAAAGCGTAATAAAATGTATTTATAAACTAGTTTATTTGTCCTTAATAAATTCTTAAAAGTTGACTGGAGAGGCAAAGGGTCAAATATTTATGGCATAATTTTTCTGCAAGTCTGTATCTGGGGCTATGACTCTTTCTGATTAACAGTGACTTGTTTCATCTGAGTTGTCGAGAGAAGGCATTTGTGGAAGTTTCCACACTTGGTCGGTGTTTGTACCTAATAAGTATGAAATAAGCATAGCCTCCTGCACCTACTTAAACCAAAGGGAAACAGAGCTTTAAATGGCCTTTAAAGTTTTACCTAGGCAATCCTAAAGTACTTACTCTGACTGGTATCTAAAACTTCAATACTGTGGATGAAGAGTTTCACATTTTATGAATATATTTTTTGACTAATGTTAGGTCATAATAGAAGATTACCTTTGCCTTAATTTTGGGTATATTGCGAGTCTAGGGGCAAAATTGAAACAACAGGAATGATTTTTTAAAGAAAATGAGTGATTAGTTCAGGCAGAAAAACAAATTAAGGCTCTTGTAATAGGAGTTTATGAACTATGGTGGAAATGGAAAAGAACAGCTGAAACTGACAGTTGGCAGAATCTGTCAAAGTATCTTGGATGCTGCCTGAACTGTTTTAATTACAGTGAAGACAGTTGAAGGATTGGTTTATGAAACAGGTGTATCAGAACCCCTAAAAATGAGAGCGTGTATGTTAGGTTAAAGTCTTGGAAAAGCTTCCAAGCCCCAGCGAGGAGTCCCTGTTAGGTATGACCCCCAGTCCTCCATGTAGTATCTCCTAAAGAGAGCAGTGAGTCAGGAGCTATTTTGGAATGAGTAGAGTCGGCAACAGAGATCATATAATTTCGATGAGGTATTTCATGCCACCTTTTGTTTTACTTGGCTCATATTGCCAGCTTATTGACCTCAACAAGGGAAAATCCCCTCCCCTGCCTTATTAAGAGTAAGTTATTTTTTAAATGTGATTTTTCCCTGCCAATACGGTTGATAACACTGTTTCTGACTTAACTCACCTGCGGGTGGATGCCCGGAGAAACCCTCCGCTCTGCCTTCCCCACATAACTCCCTGAAACATGGACGTGGGTGCTGCCACATTGCAGTCTGAACCTTCTTTGCTTGGAGCGAAGCGGACATCTCTGTCTAAGGCTACTGGTTGCTGCTCTCCGGGAACTGTACCTAAGATGCAGAAGTCTTGATTCAGCACTGCAATCTGAATGGGCTATGTTGCAACGGCAACCACTCAGACAGGTCTAACGTCAGAGAAGTTAGATGGAAGTCTTAATTATTCTTTCATTTTACCAGTTTTGAACCTCTATCATGTGCCATATATAGCAGCTCAGTGCTGCTGATACATAGACTAGTAAAATGTGCTCCTTCCCTTAGGGAGTTTATTGTTTAGAAGCTGGGTCAACAGTCAAGCCTAAAATTAATAAGTACAGTGGAATGCCTAAGGGACTGAATCGATCATAGAGATACAAAGTAAGTGTGTATGGCATTAACTGCTGAGGGAAGCATAAGAAAGCTTTTGTGGAGGAGGTAATCCATATTAAATAATGAAAACTGGGTACAGGTGAGCCTTGTAGACAAATAGCCTTCAAGGCAGAGGGAACAGTGTGGTTGACAGCATTAAGACAGTTCAGTTCAGTCACCCAGTCGTGTCTGACTCTGCAAGCCTGTGGACTGCAGCACGCCACACTTCCCTGTCCATCACCAACTCCCGGAGCCTACTCAGACTCATGCCCACTGAGTCGGTGATGCCATCCAACCACCTCATCCTCTGTCGTCCCCTTCTCCCTGCTTCAATCTTTCAGCATCAGGGTCTTTTCCAAAGAGTCAGTTCTTCGCATCAGATGGTCAAAGTATTGGAGTTTCAGCTTCAGCATCAGTCCTTCCAATGAATATTCAGGACTGATTTCCTTTAGGAGGGACTGATTGGATCTCCTTGCAGCCCAAGGGACTCTCAAGAGTCTCCAACACCACAGTTCAAAAGCATCAATTCTTTGGCAATCAGCTTTCTTTACAGTCCAACTCTCACATCCATACATGACTTTTGGAAAAACCATAGCTTTGACTAGATGGTCCTTTGTTGGCAACGTAATGTCTCTGCTTTTTAATATGCTGTCTAGTTTGGTCATAGCTTTTCTTTCAAGGAGCAAGCGTAATTTCATGGCTCAAACGGACTTTCAAGAGTCAAACAGACTCTTGCAGGTCACAAATAAAACTTAGTGCACACCAGAACCGAAGAGAAGGGAGCAGTGACCCCACAAGGGACTGACCCAGACTTGCCTCTGAGTATCCAGGAATTAAGACAAGGAACTGCAAGATAATTTGATGTGGTGAACTTGGCTTTATGGGGTACAGCAAGAGACAGGCCTAGAGTCTTACACAGGGCTCAGGTTAGAGGGCCTTGTGGACCAAACAAAAGTTGGTCCGTTTCAAGCTTTTTTGAACAGTGACCCGTTATAGTAAGATAATACATTTTTACTTTACAACCTAGTACACACATATGTAAATGGTAAAATATCACAAAAGAACACCCTTTGTGTGATGCACTCTGGTATTTTCTGTTCTATTTCTAAGAAAGAACAATGGTTGAAATGCAATAAATTGAGTTAACATCCCAGGACTAGCAGTGGTATTTTGAAAAACACTGCTCTTAGCTCTGGGAACCACTGGAGTGTTTTAAGGAAAATAGTTACATGAAGGGTGAGGGAAGTAGGTTGAGAAAACAGTTTTAAATATTTAAATTTTGGCTTTGTACATTGCATTCTGTGAAAACACCAAACCTGAACAATGAAACATGACTTGGTAGGGGAAGTGGATAGCCAGCCAGGCCTGGAAAATTCCAGGGTGTTAGGAGAGGAGGGATGATGCTGGGCTGTGTGTGGTTGTCTGAGTAGGACTTTTTCTTTAAGGACCAGCACATTTTATGTGCAGAGGTCAAAATGCAGGAAGCAGCATGGTATGTTCCTAGCAGAGCTACACACTCAGAAGGGCCATGGAATAGTGAATTTGGGAGTTTAAAAAGGACTTTATAGCTGGCATACAAATTGCATGGAAATAAAGAGAATGTTTTGGAATTCCCGAAGAAGTAAACTAAAGGGTACATGGAGTTGCTGGTAAGATTTGCCTTGTATGCTAAAAAGTTATTTGACTTGTGATTAAACAGAAGTGTAATTTTATATATATCAACCTACTGGGAGGCTGTCCATTATAAGAAGAGGAGAAGAGTTTGCATGTTTTGAGAATGGGTTTTCCCCCCAGTTTTATTGCAGTATAATCGACAAGTAACATTGTATTATTGTAAGGTGTACAGCGTAACAGTGAGCATGTGGGAACCTATGTCTATGTTGTGAAATGACTGCAGGTCCAGATAACATCCATCCCCTCACATTGTTAAAGCCTGTTTTTCTTGTGATGAAAACTTTCATGAGAGTAGGTTTATTTTTTAATATATTAATGGAGTAATTGAGCCCTCACTCTTAATTGAAATTTCAAAGAACTCCTTTTTTTGTTTGCAGGGTTGTTTTTCCAGATAGCCTGTTATATGAAGGAGATCACTCTTGCTGTTTCTTTTACCCTAATCTCTAACCTCCTGTTCCATATAGTGAGGACTTTTAACTGGCTCCTTTTTGTTCTTATTTCCTTTTATTCTTGTGGCTCCATCCCCCTTTCCCTTGGCCTAGTGATGCAGGCAGTGATAACAGCCGTGGACCCCAAGGCCTACAGACTTGTACTCACTTCCAGGCAGTGGAAAAAATTTCAGTCTGTTCCACCTCCAATCCTGCCATCTCCTTAACTTTGCTTCTGCAGTTTCCTCCCTGCTTCCCAGCTTCTCTTTCCTTCAGTTTTGGGGTTGATGATGCTTATCTGAGCACCACCCTCCCCCCTGCCCCGCCCCAAGATTTGAAGGAGGAAGAGAAATTTTCTTTTCCAGTTTTGTGGTGAGATGGGCTGGCTAGGACATCCACTGTCAGCTGACAGGTAACATGATCTCTGTATGGCATAGCAAATTGTGTTATCATGCCAAGATGTAGGATATTATTACGTATACTTATAAATAAGATATATAATGTCTTGTCAAAAACTAGATCCTAGAGTTTTAAAATGAAAATAAAAACTTTGAATAGTTATATTTTTCAGCCGAGTACAAAACTTAATGAGAGTAGGAGTATCAAGATAATGGTACTTGAGTACTTGCACGAAGCTGTTAGTAAGATGGTATCAACAAGCCAAGCTTGGCTACTTTACATATATACGGAAATTGACTTTTGAGGGGAGCAAATGTCAGAGCTGTGATCATTTGGGAGACAGAATGAATGTGGAAGATGCTGTATTTGGTGTTTTCTTTCTTGAGGACTTTTCTGGTGGCTCAGATGGTAAAGAGTCTGACTACAATGCAGGAGAGCCTGGAGAAGGAAATGGCAACCCACTCCAATATTCTTGTCTGGAGAATCCCATGGACAGAGGAGCCTGGCAGGCCACAGTCCATGGAATCACAAAGAGTCAGACACTAGTGAGAGACTATTGACTATGGGTGGCATGTTAGGATGTGATTATGTACTTCTTAAAAACAACAACAGGGACCCTGCCTTCCCTTCTCAAGCCGGTTGAATGGGCACATTGAATGGAAAGTCTTCCTTTGACTTCCTTGGTCTTTACCCTTTAGACGCTTACGGCCATGTGTCTTGGTAGCACATCCCTCCGCTGGGATTTGTCTGATGTTTCGCTGTACACTGAAAAACACTTGATAATCAACTGTGCTTCAGTTAAAGAACCAGGAATCACAAACATCACCCCATCCCCAAGAAGAGCCCAACAAGGTGTCTCATTTTTGATTAGTCACATTACATAGACATTAATCCTTTTAAAAAATATCCTTATTGGTCCCCTTTTATGTCTTTCACGTGTGATTTTCTTTTTTTTTCTTGGCTCTAGAATAGAATTACTAAACTTTCACTACCAATTTGCAAACCTATCATGGACAAGTAAGTGTATACACCAAAAAATCCTTTTCAAAATATAAATATATAAAGAGTGTGTTTAGGGGAATCTCTTAGTTTTGGTTCAGTACAATAATGTATTTAACAATTTTGATGTGAAGGCACAGTATAAATCTGACTAGTGTGACTTTTCTTTTTAGGGTTTTGGAGAATCATAAAAGTGCATTTAGGATAATTACCTGGCAGTTAAGGGATTGACAAAAGTGTCTTTATACATAGTTGTAAACTGAGTTTAGTCTTAAGTGATTAAACGTTTCAGATGAAAAGGTGGTTGAGTCTGAAAAGGTCCAACATTGCTACTGCCCTGTGTTTGTTTTTCCAAACCTATGATGTTTAGTTGAAATATTTATTGGAGTTAATCCATGGTTTTGTTTTGTCATTTTTGATTAATCAGACACACTGGATGAAAAGAGTAGGGAACCTGAGTTCCAAATGTTTAAGTGTTTCCTGATATAATTTTTAAATGACTGAATATAAGACATTTTAGAGAGCTTTCTTTCTCAGTCTCTGTTTAGTTGAGTGAAATGTGCAGTTTCTAGTTGTGTTGCATATTTGTAATAACCCATGGCTTACACAGTAAAGTGACCCTGTGGTATACAAGATTCATTATGTTTGTGGAATGACTGAGATTTTCCTAGAAATCAAAAAATACTTCTCTGTCAAGGTTTGAAAGTTGAGTACTTTTTAAGATGGTGTATGGTTTCATGCCCCTTAAGTACCTTCATTTCAAAAGAATCCTCCTGGTAAGGCAGTATTTATATTCATTTTAGCCCATCTATAAGAATTGAGATGAAGTGTCTGAATCTTACTTAAGGGGCATTTCAAGGGTCGGTAAAACTTTTTAAAGGCTGATCATTCAGTGGTCTTTAACATGTGAATACAATCATATAGAGCTGAATCTTTGAGGTTAAAATGTTAATTTTTACAACATCTCTCTCTCTGTACTATAAAATTAGGACATCCATTATCACTCTGTTAAAAGAGACATTTATCAGTGAACTTGTGCTCTTAATTGCAGTTTGATTTTCCTTTCTTCATTGTAAGTCTAACACTATTGGTCACCTCTGTGCTCCCTAATAAAATGTCTGATAAAAAAGATGAAATTGATGAGAATCGGTGCTGCTTGTTTTAAGCAGTATTTTCTAGGGAAGAGATTGAAATTACTCACATGTATGTGTTATATTTTATTGTGTGGTTTGTCATTACCCTCCACTTGTATTTTTTATTGATTTTTTTTTTTTTCTTTTTAAAGGTTTTAAAAAATCTCATTTCCCTCCTAGGTATAATTTAGAATTAATTTTATAGGCACAAGTATAATTTAGAATTACTTTTACAGGCACAAAACTGAATTGCTTTTTCATGACCTAGGAAAGAGAAAAAACCAAAGTATTCTTTCTTGTGTGGTTTCTTCCCCCCAGTGACTAATTGTGAGCCCAATATGGCTTTGGTGTAGCTAAAAAAATTTCAAATATGTAAAACAAACGTTTGACTTAGGATCTGGATTTCATTTACACATAACTATCTTTTCTCTTTAACGGTAAGCTACTGGCAGATGGCAAAAAGTCAGTTTTCTTTTTTGTATCAGAAAATAAAATTCTAAAATCCAAAAAATTAGCAGTCTACTCAATACTTTCTCTTCGTAGTACAGTTTACTTTTGCACTTTCTCTCACTTTTGAAAAATCGCTTTAATCCTTTAACACCTAATATTAGCTTTGAAAAATTGCTTTGCTTTTTGGACATTTTCTTTTAATGTTCTTCCATAAAACATGAAGCTCTTCCATGTTATCTTTGAAAAGAGTTGCACCAGCTCCTCAAGGCAGAGCAGTTTTAAAAACCAAGGACTTTTTATAAAATTACTGAACGAGAGTTAGACAAATTAAACACCTATCAAAGCAGCTTTTGCTCCTTTGTGAGGTTGTTTTAAATCATGTTTGTTTGTCACGTCTAATGCACATCCAGATCCACGTGGTCACGTGCTGCAGGGTCCAGGGGGCTGAGAAGAGAATGCTCTTGACCGCCACCCTATCTGTAGAAGGACTTGCTCCTCATTTGTCCCTGTGTTTAGTAGGAGGGCGGTGATGGCCATAATGCAAGTTCATGTCCCTCTGGGTACTGTGTGTTGCATTTCCTAACCACCTAGGTCATAGCAAAACACACACGTACAGTGTCTAAGTTGAGAGGTTCTGGGGAATTAGACCCCACTTATAGTGTACAGAAAATCCTGATTCCTAGCAGGTGGGTATAAGTTGGATGTACCAGTTATTTTTCTAATTAATTTCCGTGGTAACTTGTTGGATCCTTTCATCTTTAGTTTTAAGCATGCCTCAGTCTTAAGTTGTGTTGCCTTCTTTCTGTTTCATTTAAGAAATCTAAAACTGTTATTCTGAATAAGGCTTTTTTTGTGAGTTGAAATTTTCTGCCCTAGTTGCTTTCCGTTTCCCTCATTAGGCTCTTAATAATGGTCTCTAGGAAGTTATCTTAAGTGGACTTGACTATCAAAGAGCTTAAAGTACTCACAGTGGAAAATTTCTGTCCGTATTCCTTCGTGGAAGGTAAGTCTATACATGACTAAGCTTAGGACAATTAATTTGAACCAACTGTATAATAATATTCAAGTGGGACTGGCCTATCCATTTGGGCTTTCCTGGTGGCTCAGATAGTAAAGAATCTGCCTGCAATTCAGGAGACCCAAGTTTGATCCCTGGGTTGGGAAGATCCCTTGGAGTAGGACATGGCAAGCCATTCCGGTGTTCTTGCCTGGAGAATCCCATGGACAGAGGAGCCTGGAGGGCCACAGTCCATGGGGTCACAAAGAGTCGGACACGACGAGTGACTAACACTTAGCCTAACCCTCTACCTTCCTGTGCTTCCATTTTGCTTATCTTCTAAAACTGCCATGTTCTGTCTTACTCTGTAGGTATGAATCTCTGTCCTGCGGCTTTTAACGTTAAAGTTCATGTGCTTTGCTTAATTACCCTGCCCGCTCCTTTGATGTTCACAGAATGAGAATTCCACCTCCTTCTGTTTACTGAGCATTGCCAGGGATCTGTGTACATTCAGCTGAATGGGGAGACCCCCAAATCACCCTCTTATCTTTCTTGAGGTTCTGTTGATT